GTGCGTCCCCAGACTTGTGTGGGGTAGAGGCAGATGTGGGCTGCCTGCTGCAGGCTTGGGGCTCCCCACCCTACTGCCCTGCCCCTGGGGGCCCGCACTAACCGTACCATCGTGGCGAGGCACCCCCTGCCCACCCAGCAGCAGCAGGGACAGTGGTGGCATGGAGCTGTGCCCCCTGCTGCTGCTGGGTGGGCAGGGTGTATGTGGCTGGCACAGGGGGTGGTGGGGCAGGCAGGCATATGTCCTGCCTTCCCCTTTTTTAAAGACTGTCACCCTACCACAGTGTTACTGACTGAGGTGAGTTTAGTCTCTGTGATGAAAGTGACTTTGTTTTTATTAGTCAAAAAATCCTAAGATTCTAAAAACCTCCAGTTCTAGAGATACGCATGCAATGTAGCAGAAATCAGGCACCATGGTGAAGATATTGCTGAACCTTGCTAGGATTATAGTTATGCTTTAAACAATGGGAAAAAACACATAATGCTGTTTACTGTTGTCCTACATTTGTTTTAAAACTATTTGAATAAAATGCAAGCACCCGAGATTCTTACCTCTAAGGTGGAATTTTCACAGTATATTCCTTGCACTAAGTCACCAATTGCACTTGATATGAGCTCCACAACCTGAAAAACAGAAGAAGCACAAAAAACTTATATATCTAAATTTTTTTTTAAAGATATTTAAAAACTTACAACTGAAGTTACCAGAGTGCTTAGAAGGCTCATGATGACGTCCCTTGCAAGATCATGGCTTTGAAAGACTGTATCACCTACCAAAAGAGGAACTAGCTGAGTAGTTTTTTCCATCTAATGCGGAAGAAAACTGATTCTACTTTCCATACTGAAACCTTAAGCCAGTACCTCATCCTTCCATCAAAGATTTAAGTTAATATAAACAAAAATCAATATATATATACACTTTTAAGAGAATGAACTATAGAGTATAGTTTGGCAAGGATATACACAGCACTGCTAAATCCCAGTTCATAACTGAGACAATACTTCTGGGGTTTTTAGCTTAGTTTTGTTTTTTTACTGCCAAGTAGATGCTTCACAATATCCCTCATTGGGAGCTGTTAAAATTCTAATCTTCATGGCTAATACAGAAAAGTCAGAATCCATAGAAAACTAACCTTTAAAATGTGATCATTTGGTATTCGGGCATTCTGGGAATGCACTGTGGATGTATTTAGTGCATGGCCTGAGGGTCAGCTGTACGTACACTGAACCCGTCTGCAACATGGGAATGTTTAAATCAGATTTATCAATCTGTATTATCTTCAGGGCTCAGACTTTTTATTTTATTCAAGCGAAGCCTAAAAATCTGAACTTGATCCAGAATGTAATACAAGCAGTCCATGGTCTCACTACAACTACTGTACAATTTAGAGCCATGTGCATGAACTATCTTAATTGGAACAAAATACTGGGATTTATTGTAAAATTAAATGCAGCTATTTCAAATAAGCACACCTTAAGGCTAGCCCTTTAGTTGTTCACCAAGTTCTAATTTCTTGAATGTTTAATTTCCTATACATAAGATTCTATATCTGATTCCCCCACTTTGCTTCCTAAAATTCAGCCCAGCATTTATTGAATTAAAGGATTTGGTTTCAGTTTTTGTCATTCTTGTAATTGAAGACATTAAGCCAAATGATAAAGCCCCTAACAGAAAGGTATGTCTACATTTAGGCGTACATTATTTGATAATAAAAACACATTCTATGCTAGCTTTCACTTTACTGCAAATCTTTTTTACGTGTGCGCGTGTATGTGTGTGTGCTTGCCCCTTCCTCCAGTACTTCAGAAACATTGCTGATTAAAAAGTATGTTTTTTCTTGTGATGCATAAGGTTTAATTTGTAAGACCTACAAAAACATTCTCTCAAAAAAAATCATGTTGCCCTTTAGGTAACCAGATATCTAAGAAATATTGTAGCAATATGAACTGCAGAGGAACTGAAAGGACAATGATCCTACAGTGTTACCAGATGTGTTGAGTTATTTAAGTGGGGAACAGAGAAAATGAAGAGCTTTTTTTGCAGGTATCAGATAAGCTCTATTCCCAAATCCAGGAGGATTGAGTATCGCCAATAGGTCTATGAAAGTCTGTAACCAAATGCTCAGCATCAGATTGTATTACAGTTAATACAAGCAACATCCCAAGATTCTTCTGATGGCTAGGACACATAATACAGATCAATCACTCACTAAAAAATGTTATGGTTTGTGAAATGGTCTGAGCTCAGAGACCTACACTGGTAATACGAAGAGGAATTTACAAAGACACTGAGTCCTATTCTAAATGTCAAAGTGATAGTATGAACTTTTAACAATGCATCTGGCTGTGGATAACCAGACCTTTTCCTCTCTCTCCTGAAATTCTAGACTGAGCAGAACCAAGTAAAAGATTCTGTTTGGGGTTTCTTGTTTCTGTCCTTTCTCTCCCTTTTTTTTTTTTAGTTTCTTTCTTTCTTTCTTTCTTTTTTTGGTTGAAAACCTCAAACTCCTCTAGCAAATGGCAATTTTACTGAATTAAGCAACTAATATAATCTCCATGAAACCATTTAGGAAAAAAACTGTTGTCTTCTTACAATTTATTTCTTCTCTCTTATGATGGGGGTGCAAAGTGATGTAACAGAATGTGTACATACATATGCCATTTAAACCAGTGCTGTATGATATTAAGCAAAGATACCAAATGCTGGTAATTTTGCTAAATGTTGCCTTCTTTCATTTCCAAGTTCTTAAGATACCCAGTTAAATACTTTTATTTTTAATAGTACAAGATGGCAAGGATGATAAATTACACTATGGTGGAATGCTTACTTAAGAATCTGTTGCTTCAGCAAACCTTGTTCTGCTTCACAAAAGAGTTTCACATGTATAACATCAGTGGATCTTTGGGCTGTGGGGAAAGCCATGGAAAACTAGTACAGCTGTATGTTTAAGTCAGTAGCATAACTAGAGGTGGGCAACCAGATGCCAAGTTAGGAGGAGTGCCAGAATCAACTTCCACTCCTGCAAAAGTCTGCACCCTGGCAGTATATCCATGCCGCCAATTCCAAAATAGTCCCTGGCTGCTGCTGCTGCTGCTTTTAAAAGCAATGGCTGGGGACTGTTTAGAAGTTTCCAGAATGGGTAAAACTGCTGCACCCCTTCCCTGCAGCCCTGAGGGTTTGTCCTGTGTGCTGACTCTGCTTGTTACACCACTGATCAAACTGAATCGCAGATGACGAAAAAATCATTTGGGTTCAGTTGCATTTGAACTGTCAGACAAGAGCACATAGAACTCATGTCACACTTTTGATTAGTAAAATCTCAAGATGCTTACAAGTAAGGTAAATTTCATTAACCCCACTTTACAGATACAAAAAAACTTAATATAGAGAGGTAGCAGATCCTAATCAGCCTGTAAGGTCCTTCCACTTGAGCATTATGGGCAGCTTGCAGACATTTAAACAAACAAACAAACACACACCATGCTTTACCAGAAGCAGCAGCACATTACTTTGACCTGGCTCAGCCAATGTCTGTATAGATTGGGCAGTTCAGCAGGGCTTTTTGGTGCTTTTACCCAAAGCTGATTAAATCCCAGAAAAGTCCCACTAAAGCACCAGATCTATACAGACGTTGTGTCAGCCAGGTCCAACTAAGGCATTGCCTCTTATGGGCATGCACTCGGCTTGGAGTGGGAGCACATGGAATTTAAAGTGCCAGTTTTGTTTTGTTTTTTTAATGTCTGCGAGCAGCCACAATGGTTAAAATTTTAAGTGCCTAAATTTGTTGGCAGGGAAGAAAGTCTTGTTTTCTGGATGTTGAGGCCATTAAAAAACAGATTTTCTAATGAGAGCTGTCCAGCCAGTGGCCTGAAGGCTGCATCTAGCTTGAGGGTTTACTGTTTGCCCCCCTGGGCTCCTCCCCAGCGAGCACTGGTCCTCTGGCTGTGATGGCTAGGGTTTCTAAGGCAGGGCAGCAATGCGGGAGGGGGCCCAGTGAGCCCAAGCAGTTTGTGGCCTGGGGCTCACGGTGCGTTGTGCAGCCCCCAGCTGCTCAGAAGTTGTACAATCCTGCTCTAATGTAAAATGCACAACATATTTACGCAAGAACTGAAATCCAGAATTCTCTAATATTCTCAAGACAGTGTCTTTCTCACCAGGCCAGACAAATTCCCTGTTGCTTGTTTTTCTACTGGTGCCCATGAACGTTGAACTCTTTGTTGCCAATGGCTGAGTTTTATCAGGAGTGGTGTAAGTTCCTACATGCTTAGCCTGTAACCTAGTAGTTAAAGCACTGTGCTGAAGGGAAAGGTGCAGGTTTGAATTTTCTCAGGGTGAGATGAACCTAAAAATCCAGGTCTCATTTTCTGGGCAGATGCTCTTGCCATTAGGCGAAAGGTGGCACCTCCTTCTGAGCTGCATGTGTACCTTCAGTGTTGCATAGTTGCTAGGTACGCTCTGTCTGCCCAAACAGAACTGGGGCATGAGACAGATTAGGTAGATCCCTGCACCAATCTGAATTTCAACAAAATACATATGAAGTGTTTAGGTAGCTGGTCCAAGTAGTTTCTGAGCATGTGCATTAACTCAAAGCTAGACACCTGCAAATCTTTTCAGGTCATAATGGAGGTACTTGATGCATCTAAATGGTTGTGTGGCCACTTAGCTGGTTAATGGGGTTTGCTCTTTATAACTTAGGTACCTAAATTCTACCCAGGTCCTGTCTAGACCCTTTAGAGACTGACTGGGATCTGTCCCAGACCAACTCAAAGGTCACACAGCAGGCCAATGGCAGAATGAAGAACAGAATACAGAGGTCAATTCCCACACCAATGCTTTTCACAAGATCACCCTGAATAGTTCTACTTGTTGATTTCATTTTTGAGGGCCAGACTTACAAGCCAAAAGTTGCACATTAATTTAGGGGCCCATGACTAACCTTATCCCTTATCTTCATTTTAAGAGGTGGGAACTCCATCATAAACAAGGTGATACACGGAGGGACAGCAGTAGCTGTTTCAAAACTGTATGAACTCAAAGTGGCAAAGCTTCTATATATGCAAGAAAGGAAGGAGACCATCACATTCAGGAACCAATAAATTGTCAAAATGAGAGACTAATCAATTTATAATCTAACTCAGAAATTATTTTTTCAAAATAAAACTTAATATTTAGAAATATTCCCACACTTAGAATTCCAATAAAAACCTCTTTCAACCAAACATTTCACTGCAGTTTTGAAATACAAATACCTCAGTATTAGGATATTATAAGTCAAGCTGCCTAAACAAAAATGAAAATCAGACTGATTTTGATCGTCTAAAAACAAATGCAAAAAAATAATATATATCCTAAAGCAGTAGCTCTCAACCTTGTTAGACTTGAGGCACCCCTGGAAAGACTCAAAGCTCTCATTTTTTGAGTAGAGAAAAATAGAACAGATTTTCTGCTGCAAAATATTCAGAAAGGCCACAACGACAGATCTCTATTTGGAATTTCTGGGTTTATCTTGTGAATTATGTTTGTAAGCCTAACAGTGCTAACATGGTATAGCACCCACCAGCACCCTTGGAAGGATCTGAAGGCACCACAGGGTGCCAAGACTCCCTGGTTGAGCATCACTAGC